TGCCATGATGGATGATCCCTGGGTGAATCCTGCAGACTTTGTCTATGTCCTCCTTAAACCTACTGCTTTACTGAAATACTATGCACTTCCAGGAAAATCCACGTGCCTGTGGCTCCTCCAGCCTCCACCATACTTACCCTCTTTCTTTTCACTTCCTCTTCTCTATTCTGTCCTTCTCCAGACCCTCTTCTCTCATTAGCTCCTTCCCACTGTCCCTTCTTACAACATCCTCCACCCAGGATCTCTATCTCCCACCTCCACTTTTGTCCACATCCAAAAGCTGAACCTGTTAGCCAACTTTTACCACAACTAACTTTACAATAAATATGCCAAGAACACAACTGTGACCTTTATTAGACATTTTCAAGCATTCTAAGAGGCAACCGCATTGGATAAATCAATCCACTCAGCCACTCTAGGGCATTCATTTTGGCCACCAGAATGCAAGCTTCCTCTCTGTCAGACTTACACACACATGGGTGGTAACTTGAGGAGGAAGGATCCTTTATGGTATCACAGTTAATTGAAAGCATCAACTCATCAAATTTTACAGACCAAATTATTTCCATGTTTGATGGTATAGAACTCTTGAGCAGATTTCAACATCATTTCCAAGAAACATTTTCCTCTGTCTCTAAGAGAACTGATGGCTGATCTCTATTCAGAAGTAGGTCAATCTCCCATCTGAATGAGAATACAAATTTGACTCCTCAATTTTTATATTTCATATCAATTTGACTGAATTCTTATGTAGTATCTAAAGTACATGAATCAACAAGATTCTATTGAATATCAAAAATGATAAGCTCTTCAATGCCTCATCAGGGAAGTCCTCAACTCTAGCCAAAAATATGCTAGAAATTTGTTTATTTTTTTTTCTTGGTCTCCTATTTTTTTAGATACACCATGAGTTAAACAAAATAAGCCTATATTCAAATATCATTAATAAACTATAAACATAACAACACAGTAAGTTCACAATAAAACATACAGAAATAGAAAATGGTAAAGAATGAAAAAATAAATAAAAATAGAAGGTTTGATATTTACTTCTTCTAACCCAATGGATTGTCTTATGTACCTTAAGAGTTCTGCATTCCACAATGAAGACCTCCACTCCCACCTATAAGAGACGTCACAGAAAAACAGTGCCGTGCCTTAGCTTCTTCTGGGACAAATGACCCTGTCAGCTCCGCCCCCACCTTCTGTTTTTACCTTTCCCAGCTGCCCATATCCAGGTTTATGATCCCCCCTTTTGCAGCTGCAACCCTATGCTAATAACTTTTCAAACTTTATGTATATAAAATAAAATACAAAATAAGCAGTGGAGAATTGAATACGGAAAGGAGACAAGAAAGATTTAAAAGCTACCTCCACATTTAAGTCATTGGAAAAGAAGTACACTCTTAGGAAGATGGTAGCACTAAGGGAGAAGAGAATGTTAAAAATGTTAAAAAACAAAACAAAACTTTGCTTAGTTCATGTACAGAGTATTTAGGAACAAAACCTTTCTTCCACTCTCTCTGTGTAGGATTTTCTGAACATGTTCCAGAATTACTGAGATGGAAGCTCTATGATACAGCAACTGATTCTAGGCAATGTCCTTATACCATAAGCAGAGACTACCAACAGTGGAGGTGCTACCAAAACGCAGGGCACAAGAATTTAAAAGCAATAATAAAGCTGAGTAAAAGTTAACCTGATTTCATTATCACCATGCATGTCAATTCTAAATAATATCAATGGTAAAATACTCCTCCCCCAAAACATTGTGAATCAAAGTGCCAAACAATTGTTCTGATTACTGTTGAGTTCTAACAACATATATGTAAGCTTCAAATTAGCACATTGTTATTACTTATCGTTTGCTAAACATTGTATTCTACATGGAAGTTAACTCAGAGAACTTCCAGTTATACAGTTGGTGCCTACATACTCAGCCTCAGCTACACACCTTCATTGATAAAGTAAGATCATAACAGTTCAGAATCCTTCAAGTTTACTTCTCACAGTTTGTCTCCAATCCCTATGCTACTTCATATTCCTGCATTTAAACAGTAGATAATATATAAATAACAATAGCCCAGTGGTTGTAAAGACAAATGAATAGAACGTGAATTACAGATCAATTTGATCATATGATTATATGAGTTTAATTGTGTTTAAAACTTAAATTGAAATAGAATGTAAACTGTGAAATATGATATTTTTGTTTGGTAAGTAGAAATTTTAGTTTACATGTAAAAATCATTTTGTTATAAATAGGACAAGAGTGTTAAAATGTGATCCCTTCTGGGTGTCAAACATGCTAGACATGCCACTGACATGGTCACCATCCCTGCTGTCCAGGCTTATTTTAACCAAAGAGCACTATCATGTGTTTCTGTTATCTTCTCTTTCCTTGCAATTCCCAACACACCGATTAGTCAATGCAACTTAATTCATATTTCTAAATCTGTGCTCTTCTGGTCATCTACTTCCCAGTCTATCGTTTTCTTTATGTGATTCACTAAACATGTGTGTGTGTGTGTGTGTGTGTGTGTGTGTGTGTGTGTGTGTGTGTGAATTTCTCTTTTCCTATTAGAGTATCTCTGTTCCTGGATGCAGCTGTGTACTGGTTACTCTCAAATTTGTATCTCTGAACCCTAGACACACACACCTAACTTTATGCCACAGCTCCCCCTAGATGTCTAGTAGGCATATTAAATTGACTATGATCAAAAATGATTTCATGTTCCTATCATATCAACTCTTTTCTCTGGGAACCCCATTGTAGTATAGCATCACTCTTCAAAAAATTATTGAGAACAAAAACCTGGCTCTCCCACTTCTCTCTTTCTCCTATACCCAGCACCCATCCGTAACCCCTACAGAGGCTGCGCCTTCTACAAATAACCCCAATCGATCCAATCCTCACTCCTTCCCCAACCACCATCCGAGACCTACAGCTCTGTAGAAGCCCATGGCCTGATCTCCCTGCTTACCTGTTTTTCTCCACAGTGTCTTCCACAGTGGCCATAGCAACCTTCATAAAACACAAATCATCTCATGTCACTTCCCTGAACAAAACACTCCAACAATTTCCTGTTAAATTTACACTGAAACCCAAATTCCTTACATTGCTTTACAAGCTATATGTAACCAGGCCCTGGTTGTATCTCTGACCTCTCTCTGGCTTCTCTGCCTCTTACTCACTTCAGTCCACTCTGGCCACGCTGCTGTTGCTGCTGTTCCTTCACCACGCCTGCCGTCTCTGTGCCATAGGCTCTTCACGTTTGTTTTCTGCGTAGCCTGGGCCATTTGTCCCAGATTTTCCTAAGGCTCACGCCCTCTCTTCTTCAGGTCGTTTTACCTTTTCTGGGACACCTTCCTGGAGGAATACACTGAATTGCGTGCACTAGCACAGCGGCATGCACTGTTGCCTTGCACTGATTTATTTTCTTTAGGGCATTTTCCAGTAGGGGGGCATATTATATATTTATTTGTTTACTGTGTGTATTTATCTCCCTCATCAGAATAGAGTAACAAGAGGGCAAGGATCGTGTTTACATTGCCTATCACTGAGTCACCAGAGCTAGTCTTGGTATAGAGAAGCTCTACAAATACTCATTGAATTAAAAAATGAATTAATCAACCTGACTTCCATAACAAATCCAATTCTGTGCTTTTGCTTATTCTGTATTGAGAAAGCATCCTTGCCATCTTGCTGGCATCCCTGTGCTCCATTCTTAAAGTGGCCCAAGAGAGATATGCAGGAAAAATAGCTGTTCATCAGAGGGCATCTCGAGGAAAGGGGGCAGAAAGGCTGGTCACAGAGGGAAAGCCAGGCTTCTCCGGCTCTGACCACCCCCAGTCATGGCCACCCAACAGCCATTCTCTGCTTCTTCATCTTGCTCTGCTTTCAACCCGATTCATTTGCAGTGGCCGTGTGCCCCGTCCTGGACAATGAATCACAGCACTCCTGCCTCTTTGGCCGAATATGAGTCCTCAACCCCTTACACACTATTCCAAAATCTAAAAGGCTCTGAAAGCCAAATTTTTTTCCCTAAATTTGAGGCTAACTCATTTGGCAGAAACAATTAGCATGGCCTGGTGTGAGGCTCTTCATGGTCTTTATTTACCCCAGGTTACTATTCATACACTTTGCAGCAGATGTATTAATGTGTTTCATTACAGAGTGTTGATCTAGACCTTGGTGATATTAATGTAACATAATATACAGAATTTGCACTTTTCAAAATCTGAAACATCCCGAGTTCTGAAACAGCTGGGCCCAGAGGTCTTGGATAAGAGATTGTGGGGTCCAACTTGCTTTCCCAGCCACACATGGTGGAAACCGAGGTTCTGTGACCCAGAACTAACAATGAAATGTAAGAGAAAAATCTTCTCGAGCTTCTAAGGAAAATTCTGCTTCCAAAATGAAAAGGCAAAGCCTGCAAGAGAATGGCCTTGCCACAATCCTTCCTTTCTGCTCAGGGTCTGGGCTGAGGCTGTGGTATCTGCCAAATTGCGACCATGAGGACACAAAGTCAAAAGATTAGCTAAGGACGGTGGAAAAGAGAAAAAGATCAGGCTAATGAAAATCCTGTTGAGCTCTCAAAAGAACTCTGAATTCCCACACCATGCTTCTAGTGGAGTAAACAGTAAAACTTCCTTATTTTTAAGCCAGGTTTAATAAGACTTTCTGTGACTCTCCCACAAATGGGCTTAGCCAGGAACAATAAAAAGGTGTCTGAACAGGTGACAAGTAGGCCCCTCACCCAGCAGACCACAAACTAATCCCTTCCTGATGAAAGACCAGATAAAGGGCCTAGATATGGGGCAGGTGCTGGCCTTGGCAGGTTGCCAAGAAGGAAGGAAAGGGAAGAACAGAGAGGCAGGAGGACCCCCTTTGGCAGGGATCCAGAGCACTCTGAAGTTTATCACAGAGACGTGTCACACCCCTGCTGGCACAGGCCCATGGAATGAGCCCAGGGTGTGTTTATTTGTGTGTGCGTACTTGCATGTTAGGGGTGCCCAGGTCGATACCTGGCGTATTAAAACACCCTTGCCTGGCCAGTCCTTCCAGACCTTTCCTGAACATTCTGGTGAGTGAGTCTGCTCTGCACCAACGCTCCACGCTTGTACAAACTACTTCAAATAACCCAGTACTGATGCTGCTGTCTTACAATCCTGTCTTCTTTCCCCCACAGCCACACCAGAGCTGAGGGATCCCAGCTTCTCTCATCCCGGGACACTGACTCTCTACAGGATGAAGCCTGGCACCTGCCCCCTTTTCATCCTCATCCCCCTTCTCCAGCTGGTTATCCCAGGGAGTCCTGAGTGTTCCTTAGACACCATTGTGGAAAATAAGATCAAGGGCATTCTCAACGGTCTAGGTAACCAACTGGGGGTGGGAGGTGGGAGGTGGGAGGTTACCCCTTACTCATGTCTCTTGCTCTCAAGATAACTTTGACTCGATCTCATCTCAAGATCCCAACCTCTGGTCGGTCCACTGAAGCCCCATCTTCCTGCCCAGGGCTTTCTGTACTACCCTGCCCCTGTCTGGACTCTTGGCTACAAGCTCAGGTTTCCCTGAAGAGGAGGAAGAGGTGGGGGAGTGCGGTAGCTATAATTGATGAATGCTCAGGTATAAGATACAGCTTTACATAGATTAGTTCAATTAAATTCTCACCAGCACTTTATGAGGTAAGTACAACTATTACTTTTCCTTTACACATGAGGAAACTAAGCCTTGAAGGCTCGTGAGTAGCCTGACTGTGGACACGGTGGCACCTGAGAGGTAGAAGAGGATTTGGAAGGGCATGGGAGGGACCAATCATGGTCATCCCCCCTCCCCTTCTTTTCTCCGACACAGAGTATAATCCCTCTGCCACAACAAAGCAGCTCGTGTGCACCAGCATCACAAACTCAGGCAAACTGTCCTCCTGCCCTGCAGGTGAGTAACTCCCCGAGGAGGAATGGCGGGTAAGATGCTGCGTGTTCTCCCGTGTCCACCTCCCCGCTCCTGCACTGTCCCCATCTCAAGTCTGCATCCTGCTGGGTCTGACTCCTACCTCCTGGTTCCCAGAGATCCCTGGCCCACTCTCGTTTCCCTGAAGGGTGCTACTGACGGATCCTGGGTTTCTGCCTCTTCCTTGGCTCCTTCCCTTCAAGCCCCCATAACCAGCCCTTCCTCTCCTCACGCTCCCTGTCAGGGCCACGTCCTTCATCTCTCCCTCCCCATCTACCCTCCTGCTGGGATGGGTGGGGGCCAGTGCAGAGGAGAAGTTACCATGTATGGAAGGAAACTGAAACTGCCAAGTTCCTCACTTGTTTTTCTTTTCTTGAAACGGGCTCTCAAAACCGAATTAGCTTTAGGACCCACAAAACCTAGATCTACCCCTGGGCTGCACAGGGGTGAAAGATGGTTGCGGGTGGACCTCCCTCCTCTCAAACTTCAAAGGCCCTGAGGTCTACCTCTCACGTGCCCACACAGGGATGTCTGTCACCGGCTGTGCTTGTGGCTACGCCTGTGGTTCCTGGGATGTCCGGCAGGAAAAGACGTGCCACTGCCAGTGCAGTGTGGTGGACTGGACCACTGCCCGCTGCTGCCGCCTGGCCTGAGACGGGGAAGGCTGGGAACTAGAAGGCTGAGAACCTCATTTTGTGATCCTGACAGGAATGAAACATGATCCCAACCAGGAAACCTGACTCACTACATCTCCTTCATTTGTTTCAACCCCCGCTTCTTGAGTAATAAAGACAAACATTGCACCTTTCTACATTTGTCTTTGGTGTTAGCTTGGGACTCTAGCTAGAAAACGAAAACCGCAATGAACCCCATGACTACATCTCAATGTGGCATGTGGGATGGGCAGCTATGAAAGATATGGGAAAAATAGGAAAAAACAGACTGACACCCCAGCCCCCCAGTTCCTTCATTATTCAACAAAATATCACTTTGTGCCAGCCATACTGCTTGGCATGAGGTACAGAGACAGGAAATAGCATGCCCTTAAGGAACTCACCAACTAGAATAGCAGGCTTCAAGCTGTGTGCAGGAAGGCTTTTCAAAGTATAGGCAGGCAAGAGTAGTTTTAAAAGAATCACTTTCTAGATTTTTAGCTTATCTATGTACTCTTTCCTAAACTTAAGTGCCTGAGATGTGCTTTGGCCAAAGAGATTTCTTTCACCATTCCCTTCTTCCCATAGCCTTCATCTGTCATTGACTCTTACCACAGGTCAGAATCCTGGGGTATAAAAATCTGCTGAATGTCAAACCAAGGACAATTAAAAATACCAGTGTGTGAATGATCCAGCCACTGGTTATAAGTTGCGAGGCTTCTAGTTTATGGCTTTCATATTATTGAAGGATGATATAACTGTCAGTGGTCAACCGATAGACCATCAAATATAATTTTTAATAATAAATTGTGGTGTGATTTTTGACAAATAAAAGGAATTCAAACAAGCTGAATGACATTGCTACAATAAAAATTTCCCCTTTCTATATACTTACTTATAAGAAATAGGTATCTCAAAGCTGACAACTAAAGAAAAATTAGGAATATAATTGGTTCTAAACTTTATCTCCCACTAGTGAAATATAGTTATTTGTCCATGGGCATATGAAATACTTGGGGAGAGGGAAAGCCCCATTTCTCTCATTTAAGAAATACATTTCCAAAACATATTCTTTGTGTTTATTAATTATTTATCAAAATGTATTATAAACGGTTCTATTCAAATGTATACTGTTCATCGTTGTAATAATAATTCAATACTCCTATTTACATCAACCAGAGTGAACCTTTTAAAATATAAATCAGACCGTGTCACTTTCCTGTCCAAATCACTCTAGTGATTTCCATTACATGAAAAATAGTATCCCAAGGCCAACAAAAATCCTGCATCCTCTGGCTACTGGTTGTATTACTGACCTGGTTTCTGACCCTTACTCACTTCACCATGGCCACACCTGCATTCTTGGTGTCCTCTAAGTTGTAGCCACCTTCCCACTCCAAGTCCTTCCTACTCCGGGTCTCCCAGGTAGTCACACACATCCACATACAAAGTCATCCCTCGATAATTTTTGAGACACCTTCTCATCACCCTCTATCTCTTACCCTATTATTTTTTTCATAATGCTTCTCAGTCTTCACTTCATAATATATATTTATCTGTTTATTAATGTGTTAACTATCTCTTGCATTGCAACACATGATCCATGAATGATAAAACCTTGTCTAATTTGCTCATCATTGAATCCCCAATGTTTAGAATAGTGCTGACCCATGTAGGAGCAGTAACGAACAAATTTTCTACTACCAAGTCCGGCTCTGAGTCTGAGTGAGCTCCCTCTTTTGCTCTCTGTTCTTCTTCCTTTACCTCAATCCTGGTCATTGAAGAACAGACATTGTTTTAACAGGGGTCCCCTGGGTCCCATTCTTAAGGTGTCTGTAGGAAAAATAGCTGTTCATCAGAGGGCACCTATGAAATAGAAAAGCCAGAGGGTGGAGATGGAGTTCAGAGAGGTTAGCAATAGCAGAAGCAGAAGTCAGATTTTGTAGCTCTGGCTGATATACAAAAGTCTCCATACAAAGGAAAAATTTTGTAAAATCAATATTTTGTAAATCAAGGTACACTTTTTATACCTAATCAGCAGACATTATAATTATAATATAGTATAATTATAATTGTATGTATATAATTATAATTAGCTACAATTTCTCATTTTCCCTATGTATGGCAACTTTTGGGACATCTGTAGTTAGTTAGTTCACTTAGTGGCCAATTTCCCCTTTTTTGATGTTAACAGAATCCTGATTTCATTCAGGGCAGTATTGTGCCAGTACTGAATGATAAATTATTACTTAAACCAATAATTGATCTACTGCTTCTTTTGACCAAATATTTCCTTTCCTAGCTTTAACCTTGGCATAGAGTTGTGTAGGGTAGCAGGTGGCCCAAATCAGGACAAGAAGACATAGGAGAACACTGCTTGGGCCTTCTGAAAAAGAGAGGGCCTTCCTGGAGCCAGAAATTCAAAATTGTCCAAGACCATTCTAGCTTGGGCTGTTGGTGTGAGGATGTGATGTCTGGAGCTCTGGCAGCTATCTTTTGTCCATGAAGTTCAACGATCTTGTGACCTTTGAGGCAAAACTGTAAGGATGGTGAAGCAGAAAGGAAAAGGACCTAGAGCTCTTATTCTTATTTAATGGCAGAATCACATTATTGGCAGAATATTTGTGATTCTGCCATTAAATAAACTCTGAAATGACTTAAATAATTTTTCTTCATAAGCAAATAATAAGTATTCTTTTTCATTCATTTAACAAATATTTATTAAGTCTTATATTCAAAGGCCATGGGATACAGTGGTGGCTAAAATAGAAAAAAGATTATTGCCTTCATGAAGCCTCTATTCTAATTCTAAATCTCTGCCAGATGGGATTTTTTTTTATTAACTTTCCCATAGAAAGAATTAGTCAAGATCAATGTCATGTTCTCTGAGCAGATGACAACCAGAACCTTTAGACCACACCTTTTCTACCTTTTCCTATTGAAGGAATGAACAAAGGTCCTATAATGAGAGATGTCATCAAACTTGGCAATTTTTGACAAGGCAGCTGCTAGGCTTGCGAGCCTGCAAAGAAGGAAGGAGAGGAACCTCTCAGGACACACTCTGGAGAGTATCCAAGACTCTTTCTGAAAGTTTGACTCTCCCTGGCTGAAATTTTCTGAGAGTTTGATTCTCCCTGGCTGAAACTTTCTGAGAGTTTGACTCTCCCAGGTACTGGCACAGTGTTTGTTGGCGGAGTAGAGAGAATGCCCTTATAGCACATGGCCAGGTACAAGTCCCTGCCCTCCCAACCTCTGCTGCCTCTCAAAAAAATGAATCCCTCTCTGACCTCCTTCTCCTCACCACCCTTCTCCAGATGATGCTGTCGTGGCCCGATTGCAGGATGGGGGATGAACACATAAGACATAGACATAAGACACAGACACGACAGAGTTGGCTGCAGTCCCAGAAAAATAAAGTACACAGGCCAAAGACGGTTGAAGACTGCAGCACCTTAAAGCACCAGTCGTTTTATTTTTATACTGTTTAATTAGGCAAGCGTCCTGCAGCTATTTTCTCATGCCAGCTATTTTCCCAGCTACTTTTTGGTATATGACTTTTCATGGGCCAACAGTACCTTTTCCTCCAGTCATAGCACAAGAGATGGCCTTTAACGCTTGATACCGTTTGTGGATAACAAACAACTTTGGCTCGACCGAGAAACCACAAGTCCTTGGCCGTCTTGTCAGGTACCATATGCAGGATAACAGACAACCTTGGCTCGCATGCGAGACCACAGGTCTTTGGCCATTTGCCCAGAGGAACAGTTCTCTCTGCTGGTCAACAAGTCATGTCCTGCTAATTTTGGGAACAAGCAATGGGCTCCCATTCTGCTGACTTTGGGTCTCGGCCAATCTGACCCAGGGACGGCTCCTTTCATGATGCCCTCAGGGAGTGCCCAGTGCACCTTAGAATTAGTCATGGGTGGAAGGAAAAAAGGAACTCTTAGCTAAGTGGATAACTACTATGGGAGTGAGCGTGGAAAGTTCCATCCCTAATTCTCAGTCCTGTTACTAGACTCCAAGCCATTTCCTAACCCATCTTCAGATCCCAGCCTGTCTGGAAGATTCATTCCCAAGCCCCCTTACCTCACTATGCCTTCTGGGGCTCTTCATCATTGCCACTGTGGTGGCAATGATGAAGACTGTACCCAACACTTTTGAGTGCTTACTCCATGGCAGGCATGGTTAGGTGTTCTATTATTATTCTGTTAACTTCTCACTACAATCCTATGAGATAATAAGCACTGTTATTTTTTACATTTCACAGAAGAGGAAACTGAAGCTTAGAAAAGTTGCCCAACAACACACAGCTATGAAATGCCTTGATCCTAGACACAGTGACTCATTTGCATGAGCAGAAGGACATTAGGGGACCGGGGAAAGGAGCTGGCCAGCGAGGGTCCCTATCTTAGCTCTGCCTCTCTGCCACAGAGTGCCAGCCCTCAGACTGTCTGAAACAGCTCTCCTGGGCCAGCAAGCATCACTAATGAAAGCGATCTGTCCTCCTGCCCTCAGGTAGTCATTGAGTGAGGGTAAAGGGGCATGTGCAGCCCATTCCTATTTCCATGCACCTGGGCTCAAGCTGCCAACCCGTCACTATACCAGCAGGTTGTCCTCAGCCTCAGGATTGTAATGTGATTGTGATGTGTTGGAGTCACGACCCCAATACCCACAACTCCCCATTTTTCCTCCTGAGGGAATACCTAGGAATGAGAGGCTTATTTCCACTCCCTCCCTTCTGCCAATCTCCCTGGCCCCAAGCCTTCTTCCTCTCCATTGTCTCCCATCTCCTTTGCCAAATCCAATCCCACCCTGTTTCCACCCCATCAAAGGGAGGTACTTCATGGGACGAAAGATAATTATGGGAGGGCTTCTCTTAAAATTCAAGTACTTCAACATTCTCATCCCAATCCCCCAGCACGCTGTCTGTGCCATGTAGAGTGCATCACCACCACCAATGGATGTGTGTGTGGCTGTGCCTGTGGCTCAGGGATGTGTGGGGGAAACCACGTGTCACTGCCAGTGCAGTCTGGCAGGGTGGACTGCTGTCCTCTTCTAAGAAAAGGAGGCTGAGAGCTCAGCCTGGAAACAATGAAGGCAACACAGGGATGATCACAACCAGGAAGCTCCACCCCAACTCAGCAAAACCATAACTT